CATGAGAGATGCTTGGAATACCCAAAGATTCCTTGATTTCCAAAGTCACTAGAGGATATAGGTAGACAATTGGATTCTAGCCTCTGAGACTTCAGAATGATCAAGGGTGCAGATTTTGAACCACCATTCCTTAAAGCAGTTTGCTAATTCTGAAATGCCATGCCACTTGACAGGAGAAATGTCCCTTACCTTTGAAGCTCTGGGGCAACTTAAAAGAACATGAGTGATTGTCTCTGAAGTTTCACCACAAACTGGGCATATGTGATCAATGTCAATTCTTTTTCTTCTCAGCAAGCTTGCCACAAGAAGGGTTACTGACAAGCATTTCCACAGAAAGTGCTTCAATTTCCCTGCAACTTTCATTTTCCAAAGTCTGAATTGCACTGATTTGCTGATTGAAGAGCTGGCACTGGATTCTGGGATGTCTAGTTGAGCAATCTTGATTTTTGAGAGATGCTTGTAAGTGCTTGCTACAGAGAATTTACCTCTCCCATCTAAACCCCAAAAAATTCTGTCTGACCTCTCAGGATGAAGAGATGTTATTTTAAGTATAGCTTCACTATCTGATTGATCAAAAACCCGTTTCACAAGCCAGTCATTCCAAGCATAGCCATTAGGTTGCAGAAGGTCTTTGACCCATATGAGGTGATCCCTAGCAATAGGGATAAGAGAAGGAGCAGTTTTCTGCAAATTGGGAACCCAATTGAAGTCATCTATCTTGGTTGTAGTTCCATCTCTGATTTCAATTTTCAACCATTTGGAGAAGAAAGGGATCATCTCCATCCAACAATTCCACATCCATGACCCATTAGATCAGGCTGAGATGCCACCCTCCATAACTGCTTGCAAATTAGAGCTTTGTTGAACACTTGCAGATCTAAAAAACCCAAACCACCTTCATTCTTTGGTAAAGCAAGTAGGCTCCACTTCTTCCAGTGAATTCCTTTAGTTTGTTGGTCTCCATTTTGCCACCAGAATTAGCACAGAGCTGAGAGATTTCAGAACAGATAGTGATAGGAAGCTTAAAGCAAGACATAGTAAAGATTGGTAATGCCTGAATGATTGCTTTTAGCAGGACTTCCTTCCCAGCTGTACTCAAGAGTTTGGATGTTCAATTTTGAAGTTTATTTCTAACTGAATTCAGCAAATACCCAAACACCTCCTTTTTAGATTTCCCAATGCCAAGTGGTAAGCCAAGGTACCTTGTTGATCTATGAGAAGTAATACCATTGAGAGCTGAGCTAATTATAGCTTGAAGAGGTTGTGGAGTGTTTCTACTGAAGAAAATGGTTGATTTGTTCAAGTTGACAGCTTGTCCTGTGAATAATCTGTATTTCTCTAGGACTGTCATTAGTACTGCTGCTTGGTCAACACTTGCTCTACAGAAGAAGATTGAGTCATCTGCAAACAGCAGATGAGTGAGTAGAGGACCATTTCTGGAATGTTTGAGGCCTTTGAGTTGTCCTGTGTCCACTGCTTGCAAAATCAGTGTTGTGAGAGCTTCTGCCACTATTAAAAACAGATAAGGGGACAGAGAGTCCCCTTGCCTAATACCTCTGCCAGGCTTAACATAACCACT